GATTCACAAAACCCTCCCTGAACCCGCCCCGTTGCCATCCCTACTTCCCAGCCAAAGAAGACATTTTATTTGTCTAGCGACATACTAATCTATCATTAAAATTCAAGCCACACCACGATTGATTATGTAATAACAAGCAAGGGAAATGCCCCAAGCACAAAATCAATCCATAGAATCATTAATAAAAAATTGATGAAGAACCTGAAATGCCTGGATTAAATCGCCTTTAGCAAATCGCAAGCTATCAACTGCACCTTGTCGTGTAAGTTCCACGGCATGTGCAAGGGCTTGTATATCAACCTGAAGAAGAATTGACATGTAGGTGCTGATTAAAACCTAAGGAGTACATAGACAAACGAGTTCTATATGAAAGGTAAATAAATAAATCCACCTCATCAAAAGGGGGTGCCTCATACAAGCTCTCCTCAGTTGTTGCAGGGGGATCACGTTCCTCAAGGAGCAACCTCTCAGTAAGATCTGAAATAGGAGATGATATGCCCTGACGGAAGCAGAATCCCTTGTGTATACTGCATGTTATTTAAAGGAACAATAAGAATCTAGCATCCAGAAAGTGTATACATTGTTGCCAATCAGAGCAACTAAGTTGAGGTATGACCTTATCAAGTATCTCAAGGTCATCGAAAAGACTGGGTCATAAGCATGTAGATGGGCCCTTAGAACAGAGGACAATAATCCAGCAATGTCAGACCTCTTTCTTTCAGACCACTGAAACAAATATAACAAGAATATTAAGATAACAAATGACAATAGAGAGTCTTGGATCCAAAAATAATTTGCCATCAACCTTATGGAAGTCAATGGACATGCTTCCATCTTAATATGAGGTGAAGGTAAACAGTGATATGCCATGGTTCAACATCCCCTCCTTTCCCCAGCACAAAATACAGAGAAAAAGAACGAAAGTAAACAAACATATATACGTGTGTGTGTGTGTGTGACATCCAAAACCATCAAGAACCACATGGTGAGGAAATATTTCAAGTTGAAAAAAAAAATGTTTTACCAAAAACTTTTAAGCAGCAAATTCATCAAAAAAAAAAAAAAACTTTTAAGCAGCAATGACAAAAGAAGAATTACAAGCAGAACTGAAGATCCCCAAATAAGGAAGAACTATCCTTCAATAGGGTACCCAAAGCCATACCCGTGTCTTGAATCTCAGGAAATAGAACCATGTCTCCTTAAAAGTTGACAAGGGATATACAGCTAATAAGTCCGCTTTACTAAGTAGATCCATCATGGGTACTCATGTTTCATAACAACTTCCGGTTATTATGTTCAAGTACAAATGTGCTTATATGTTCCCTAAAGAGGCTCCAAATCTACTAATATATGAAAACTTTCCTATAGCACAGAAGTAAAAGAAAATCACATTATATGGTATGCTTCTCCATAAAGATTCATAGCACGACAGGCACATATCTACCACAGAAGGTCCTGGCATGTCTCAGCCGTGATATTGGACATTGCCAACTTCTAAAATAAGACAAATAAATTTATCAAAAGAAGAAAAAGAAGAAACTTACATCCTCATGTATCTCAATATATGCCTAGTTATCTAATTAATTTATTCTGAAATATGCACATGGGAATTTATTTTGTGATGTATTTTATGAAATCATGCAACCCACCATCTTTAACCATTATGATTATTATCAACTCCAAAATTGCACGTGCACATACACATATTGCATATACAAAGACTGTCAGTATGTTCAAAAGAATATCCTTGCGTGTGCTTACGATGCTCATGTTTCTAGATTTCAGGATGTGCCATGTTTCCCACCACATATCTACTTAAACACAAAGTTTCATGTTTGGGCTGGGGACTTGAGAGGGATTGTTGGATCCTACTTTGGTTTTAGGTCTGGGAATTGAGTTAGGTTTTTTGTCTTTTGTTTTCTGTAATTTATGAGAAAAGAATCCTGTTTCTAAGAAAAGTAAAGGGTTGTATTGTTTGGGTCCTGGTTGATTACTTTGGGGGGTGATATCTTATCATCTGTTTGTACTCTCTTTTTCTTTAATAAATTTTTTATTTTTTATTTGTTACAAAAATAAAAATCTACTTAAACAGAAAGCTATATCCATATCCATAGATCATAATCATACTTGAAAAGAAAAGCATACATAGCTCCATAAAGTTATAACTTTATAACCATGAGTGTGAAAACATAATTTATACACACCTCATTTGCCACAGGTGAGGCCTGATCATCTTTGTCAAATATAAGTGCAAGAAGAACATGCTTAAACTCTTCATATGCTTCCTTAAACATAAACACAAGCATATGTCAGAATCTATAGCAGATAAGATTATTAATTAATAATACATCATAAGTTCATTGAGGAGTCTAAACTCTATATATAGGTGTGCCCATATGTGTATATGTGTATGTGTGTACATAAACATTCATTATAATAATCATGATGATATTAATAACAGTAATAATGAGAAAATCTAAATGCATAGTCTATGATAAAAGGCAAAAAGTAAAACACTCTTGTTTACCTATAAGAACTACAGGCTTTTCTCAAAACCACGAAAAGTTTGAAATTGAGGAAAAGAAAGCTATGTTTGGAATTTTTTCTATGAAATTTCATAGGCAGATTTAGAATATAAGGATGTAGGAGATCACCAAGCTTGGTAGGATTTTGAGTACACCTTGCACAAAATCTGCCTTGTGAATAAAATCCATAAGTTTACTTAGCAAGAAAAAAAAAGAAAATCCATAAATTTTATACTAAAAAACTAGGATTCTAGATAAAGTTTTTGGGTGAACTTTTGTAGCTTGAAATGTGATAGACTTATGGTGGGAAATCTAATATGACGGAAATTAGAGGTCAGGCACAAAGATGGAAATTCTAGGATGTAGAAGAATTAGAGTTTCCAGAAATTGTTTATAGAATTAAAAGATGGAAGGAAACTGAATTATATTGGGTTTCCACCCAATATAGAGTGGGGATATTGAGAGAAAAGGGATTCTATCTAAGAAAATCCAATGAAAGAATGAGATTTAAACAATTTGGCTATAAGGACTTACCTCAACTGATTCTTGTCTTTAGTGATGTTGAATGAACTCTTTTAACGAAGAATTTATGGTTGTTGTTTGTTGATGGCTATAATGGGTGCTTCTAGAATAGAAAGAAAATATAGAGAAAGAGAAACAAACCTAGAATCATTCAACCTAAAGTCCTAATATCTGCATTTACCATCCACAGCTTATGTAAAATTTATGGAAAATATTTTTTGCAACATAATTTATGGAGGAAATCAACTAGAAAAAAAAAAAGACTTATTGCCTCCTTCGCAGGGAAGATAGGCAAGATAATTTTGAAAGAACGACGTCAGTGTTAGTTTAGGTGTTCTTTAAACAACAGTTCTTCTCTTGTGAAATTCATTCATTCTGGGCTACAGAACCCATGTTACCACCTTCTAAAAGAAGAAGAAAAAATATCTTCAATCTGAGTAACCAATGGGCAGTGCACAAGGAAGTTTGGCAATTGCCGACTAGGTGGCAAACTAGAAATTTACATCAAAATACCCAGTGAACCAGCAAAAATAAAAAATTATATCGTTCTTGATCTGATAGTATACCAGAGTGATTTATTTTTAACTTGACAATATTAAAAAATAGCCACCAAGAAATTCACAAATCAAACAAGCACGATATCGCAAACCATTAACAAATTCATCTACTTACATAGTTCTAGTCTCTATGTAACACAAATAACAAAAAAAAAAAATCTAGAAATATTAATAATAATACACATTAACTTTCAAGTGCCACATCAATAGTAGTGCTGATGAAAGACTTATATAGAAAAATGGCATATGAACGAGAAAATAGCCGACTCCATACTTGGGATAAGGCTTGGATGATGATGACGATGATATGAACGAGAATATCATGAAGGTAGAGTAAAAATACCGGATAGGCATCGAGAGCACAAGGAGCAAGTTCTTTGCGCAGGCACTCAATTGCAGAATCACGATCTTTGGCAGTCCCCCTCCTCAGAAGCTCGATAAATTTCTTTTTTTTTATTTATTTTGCAAAGAGTATTAGAAATCAGAAAGTAATCCCAAGCAAACAATTTTCGCCCCCCCCCCACCGCTACGAACAAAAAAAATTGCATTACCTGCTTTTGCAATCGAAAGAGAAGTCGATGATCATGGAGAACAAATGGAGCATGGATCCGAAGAAGATTGATAGCAGCATCGACATCTCCGATTTCCAGTGACCGTCGGATCTGGCGAATTAGCAGACGCGAGCGGTAAGACAAAGACGACGGGGAAGAGGGAGAAGAAGGAGAGGAAGAAGGAGAAGAGATTGAATCTTCTATCAAGTTTTCAGATTTCGCAAAATCGACAACCAGAGAATCAAGAGCTTCCCAATTTACAGGCATCGATTCCATCTCTAAAAGTAGGTATCTTCTCTCGGTAAATTATATAGATAGACAGATAGATGGAGAGAGAGAGCGGAGTAGTAGTTTTACTGTTTTTCCATCAAGGGAAATTCTCTTCTGCACACGAAAGGCGGCGATCAGAAATTACGATATTCGTAAACTGCCACATGTTCATTATTAAGCACTATAATTGGATCACCACTCAAATAGAGTCCAGCCCATGAGCCCATTCTCTAGGACGTACATAAACGTCCGCGGCGGCGCGGCTTACGCTTTGCGCCACGTAGTAGGAGGCTATATATTTTAATCATTTCAAGTTTAGCCGAGTCGAATATTTGGTTATTTAAAGTTCGAGTTCGATTAGTTTCGAGTTTGGCTAACTTTGATTGAGGCTAAAGGTGCCAAGTTGAGGTCTTTTTTAACTGATAAAGTATCGAATTGAGGTTTTTCTAGCAGCCACGGTGCTGAACTGAAGTCTCCCTCTGTTATCGAGATGCTGAGCCAATGTCTCCCTCTATAGTTAAGATGACACCCTATGTACACATATTTGATTAGGCTCGCGAGCCTCATGAGCCAAGTTTTATTAAGTTCAAGCTCGACTCCACTAGTAAACGAGTCTATATATCAGGTTTGAGTTCGGCTCAAACCAAGCCGAACTCAAATAACTTATGAATAACTTGACTCGTGACCACCCTTACTTCCACCTCATGGAACCGGGACAACTTGGACCAATAGAGGCAAAGGCCCAAATTCATCTTTCCATTTCCCATCCTAGCCGCTTTTCTTGAAGGGCTACACAATGGGGGTAGTCCATCCCCAACCCATAAACCTCCCAACTCGAGTGCAAGCAGGATTTGATTCCAACTTACTAAAGTCTCCACTACTATCAATAGAAGATATTACCAAATAGCTGATTGGCATTTAATCGCTGAGACCAGATCTACTCCACACATATGGCGTCTCACACTAATCTCACAGGCACATCCTACTATGTATTGAAAATATTATTATTAATCATATATGTTCCCAATGCAGGTGGGATGTGGCTGTAAGGTCGCTGTGAGGCGGAGCAGATCCCACCTCCAAGCCGCTAGTGCATAAAATGAACCCACGTACCACTGCACGTGGCTTACTTGAACTAATAACTGTTTGCCACGCGTCAAAAGAATGTATCTCTTTTCTTTTCGTAATAATAGGAAGAAATCACCAAAAGTTGGGCGCACGGGAGACTAACAAGTATATCATACATGGATATATGTATATGGATACAGGCCATACGGCTAATGCAAATTTAACAATTCCTCAAACTCAGATGATACCAAATTGCACTCTTGACCTCATTTATTAGCCGTATGGCCCGTATCCATGTATATACATATATATATGTATGATATACTTGTTAGTTCTTCCGTACGCCCCCCTCTCTATAAAGAAAACAGACTAATGCAAATATCTACCATGCATATATACAAAAATAGTAATTCATATAGTGGTATTGGGCCAATCCGTAGATCTTGACACGTGGCATCAATTAGATATATCTTAGTCATTCATCACCAACCACTAGTAACCGCTACTATTGTTCCCAATTATTCCTCTGGTGATTCTAACTATAAAAAAGGGTTTCTACATTGAGATAAATATACACTAGAACTTAAACTCTAAGTCTTCTTTTTTGCGTGGTCCGGTCCTTCACAAATCTCGGCTAACTTGACCATCGGAGTCTCTGCTATTAGACAGTGTATGCCCTTATCTCCAATTAGCTTGATGTACATTATGACATTTATGGTAAATGAATAAAAGTACATATTTGATTCATGTTATATGGTGTGTTTCTGTGTAATACCCTTAAACTGGACACTTATGAGATTCGTGTTAATTTAGAATATTCATAGTCATTGGATAGACCTGGGGACGTTTGTCCTATCAAGGCTAATACTAATGTGCTTCCAAGTAGGTTGGGGTGGCTTGTCTCAGCTGCCAGGGTGAGACTTGAAGCACATATAGTGTGAGTTTACTTGAAACTCTGAACGGGATCAAATTCTAGTGCTGCCTTGGACCTTAGAGACAGATGGACAAAATTGGAAAGTTACACATGACCCCTAGACTCGATTATGGTATTGCACTAGCTGTCGAATTGGGCTGTCTTTGATATGCCAATCAGTGAGATCCTTAGAGGGGTCAAAACTTGGGTATGTTGGGGCAGTCTAAGAATTCACCTAAGTGGGTGATCATAATGACAGAATCAGCCCCTTTTGTCGGACAAAGTGAACGATCAAGGAATGCACTCTCTCTGATGGAAACCTAAACTATCGGCAGATGATTTCAAACTTGTTAAGATTTGTTTTGCAAAATATATTTATATAGAGATATACATATTATGGTTTCACAAATTGTTTGCAAAAGGTTTTAATTCCTGAGATCCATGTGAGTAAAGAGTGCAACACTATACCACACTATGCCAGGGTGAGACTTGAAGCACATGTAGTGTGAGTTTACTTGAAACTCTGAACCGGATCAAATTCCAGTGCTGCCTTAGACCTTAGAGACAGATGGACAAAATTGGAAAGTTACACATGACCCCTAGACTCGATTATGGCATTGCACTAGCTGTCGGATTGGGCTGTCTTTGATATGCCAATCAGTGAGATCCTTAGAGGGGTCAAAACTTGGGTATATTGGGGCAGTCTAAGAATTCACCTAAGTGGGTGATCATAATGACAGAATCAGCCCCTTTGTCGAACAAAGTGAACAATCAAGGAATGCACTCTCTCTGATGGAAACCTAAACTGTCGGCAGATGATTTCAAACTTGTTAAGATTTGTTTTGCAAAATATATTTATATAGAGATATATATATTATGGTTTCACAAATTGTTTGCAAAAGGTTTTAATTCCTGGGATCCATGTGAGTAAAGAGTGCAACACTATACTGTGCAGCCGAGGGAGAGGCCATCTCTTGTCAGGCAATGTATGATCATTAAGGGTTGAGAGGTTAAGTGTAAGACCATTTAGGGATAATAAACCTGATGGGCTAATCTCAGTTAAGTCCATAATCCCTGAGCCTTCATAAGGTGTTTGGACTTAGGGACCATTTAATGTAAATGTTGGGCCCATTAAGAACCCATGTTGATGGGTTCAGGGGTTTATTCGGACAGGCCTTGTAACAAAGGATAGGCTAAACCCATATGGTTTTTGTGGAGATCAATGATACGGTCCTACGCCATTCAAAGAGAGCCAAGCTAACTAGCATTAAAGGAAGTGAACCTGAATGCTTAATGGGCCTAAAGCCCATTTCGAACTGGGTTAATTTGATTAATTTAAATAGAAGGTGAATCTGGGTATGGATCAACAGATAAGGATAAGAGGATAACTCTTATCCACTTAAAGAGTCCATATCCAAATAAAGATTTGGATTAGGAAACTCCTAATTGGATTAGGAGAAGTTGATCCTAATTTGCTAATAAAATAAGGGATAAGCCTTATCACTTAAAGAATCTAGATTCACATAAAGATTTGGATTAAGAAACTCCTAATCAAATTAGGAGATTAACTCTTTAATGTCTATATAAAAGGAAGAGGGTGAATTGGAAAATGACATACAATTTGATTGACTATTCTGCATTCAGTTCTCTCATTCTCTGTTCTTGCCGCCCTACCTTGTTTGATCTCCACCTCTTTGAGTGATCAAGATTGGATCTTGATATTGTTTCTTGGTGGAAGAAACAATCTTAAAAGTGTACTCACATCCATACATAATTCTTGCTAAAGAATTTGGTTTCTTGTTGAAGAATCCCCTTGTAGATTATGCTTCACCCTAAGCTGTGTCATCTTCAGTAGAGGAAGGATTTGGTACCCTCTTTGGGCGTGAACACCTACATTGGAATGAGCTTTTTACATGGATTCCGTATCAGGTATTCCTCTTCCAATTTTTCTAAAACTAGGAATAGGATTCCCGAAAGGGTGAAAGAAATTTTTGAAATTTCGCCCAACCTCCTTGCATGGTTTGGCCATCCATATGATGGATCACCCTTCCCTTCATCTGCCCCTGGGATAACTCCCAGGGCCTCTGACACCTTTTTTCTTCAACAGCTTGGACACGTTGGCCTCGGACGCTGAAAATTATGTTGTTGTCCTCAACTCCATATTTGGCAGCAACAATTGGTGTTATCTATGGAAAAGTCTTCAAAACATTCCCTCAAGAAAAAACTAGTCTAATTTAATCAACTAGCATCCCTAAAATGGCTGACAAGGAAGACCCCGTCCCTGACATTTGAAACTTAGTCACAATTGACCAGTTCGAGCTAGTCCTAAGCAGGCTAGACAACCTAGACCAATAATTAGACAACATAGGGCACCCAACAGGAAGCCACCCACAAGGTATCCGCCCTGCCGGAAGCCACGGGCAACGCGAAGAGCGATCCATCCATACCCCGCTAAGCTAATGCTTGGGAGGCCCAAAAAGGGGCCGACTCCTCAGATTCCCATAGTCGTAGTCGACGGGCTACAAAGCCCTGTTCCAAGACCCAGGCTCCCCAGCTAAGGGGGCAACCCCGTAGGACCCCATGCCGATCACAAGAATCGCAACTATCAGCACCGTCACGCTATAACCAATCGGGACATCAACGGACGCTTAGGCCACCATAGCCCCCCTCCGAAGGTGGGAGGCCGACACCATGCCTCTACCTCACTAGTCTCTTACCTCCTCAATGATCGCTAAGCTCACAAGGTTCAAGACATGCCGACGTCCAAGCACTCTGGGAACAAGGCCAGCTTGTCCCGCGTACGAGAGAACCAGGATCATTCTAAAGCAATGATGCCCTACATCGACTAGCTCCTCGGAGACATTCAAGCAAAAAGTGGCACCCTTCATGACAAACTTCAGCAAGTAAAGGAGGGTCGAGGTGACACCTCCACCAGTTGCCCTGCCTCATCCAACCGAATGGAGGCGTTCATAGATGTCATTCACTTTGAGCCCCTCCCGCCAAATTTCAAGGCCCCAGCATTGGAGACCTACGGCGAGAGCATTGACCCTAAGGGCCACCTCGAAAGCTTCCATGCCATCATGCTTCTACACGGGTACTCCAACGCCCTCATGTGCGGAGCCTTCCAAGCCATGTTGAAGGGAGCAACACCCG